AGTATGCTGTAAAAAATTATTGTAACATTGCTAGCAAATTATCAAACAAGAATATGAATAGGATGTTCAAGCATCCTAACTATTAAGAACTTTCAACACTGACACACAATCAGCATTTTTAACACATTAGATGAAGCTAATATGTAAATATGGCCAATTATTTAATTTTCTTAAACTGTGTATATAATCAATAGATTAAGGACTCTAATTTCACTTATATGTCAACTGCAGTATGCTGTTTCTTCAAATTTTATTTTTGTAAATGACCTAATTTAACTACAATAAAATATGCATATACATATGTTAGCATTAGTACAAAAAAGGGTATAAGTAGAAATGGTTTATTTTTTAAAGTGGGAAATGGATAGGCAGGGAATTTTTGAAGTCACACATTTCTATTATGTTTGATTTTTTTTTCACAATAAGTGTACTCTTTTTATAATCATTGATTTTTTTTAATATTTAAGCTATTTAAAAATTCCAAGGTAGAAATATGCCATAATCTCAATGCCACTTAAAATAAAAATTACTTTCCTAAATATTTTTAGTACTATTTCTCTCCTTGTCTATCATCCAGCACAAAAACTATCATATCTTCATTTTTACAAGCAACTTCCTTGAACAATAAAAGCAGTAGGATTTATATAAACAATAGATATTAATTAAATTTAGATTTATCAAGAAGTAATGTCTTCTTAACTTGTTTAAGGTTCTCTCTATGAGACCTCAGAGAAAAAAAAACTTAACACTACTACCAGTAATTTTTTATAGAATGTGCCACACTCCAATTTTTGGAAAATCCTTCTGCTGTTGGTTGACCAACATAGACACTAACATTTTAAATGGAGAAAAACAGAATACTGACAGGGAAGACTGAAAGTAGGTTTCCATACCTTGCCCTGAACACTTCTCACAGATCTCTTTTTTCTCCTCACTAGCTAGCAGATAAGGACTTTCAATGGTGTTCTGCTATTCCTCTTAATCTTTTTTTCCTCATGAAATAAATTTATCTAATATATGGGAAAGAGATGATAATAGGGGGAAAGAATAGAATAAGATTCCCTTTAGCCAAAACAAAGAATTAAAAATGTGTTGAAATCTGCAAAAGTATTCCATTTTAAAAGAAATTGGCAATAGTTGGGTAGGTCTTTTCTCATTTACTGTCCTTTAAAATTGAGACAATAATTTAGCATAAAAAAATATTCAAGTATTACCTGAAAACTTTTTGATATGGTTATTAAGCTTTTATGTAGATAATGGTTTGGACGGTGCAAGATGAAGCACAACAACAAAAAACTATTTTTAAACACAGCAAAAATATTTTCTTTCAGAATTTGGGAGTGTGTGTACTAACCAACAATTAAATTTCAGAAAAGCAAATGTCAAATAAATTACTGAAACTCCTAAATAATAATAGCTTAACTTCACAGAAGTGTTTGACTATTTTATCTTCATAAATAATTCTGCGAAGTAGACAGGTATCACCAACCCTACCTTAAAGAAAAGTAAAGTGGAGCCTTCCCTGGTGGCACAAGGGGTTAAGTCTCAGCATTATGAAGCTGTCATCAACACAGAGGCAAGAGTTCAGCATGTTCCCTGCCAGGAAATAGCCCACATCGCCCAGCAGAGCTCTCCAATCTCTCCTGCTGCTCCCCTCAACAGTGTATTTCAGTAGATCCACCTCTTCTGACCCTTCTCTGTCTCTGGTGAATCCTCTCACCCCACACCCCTGGCCTGCACCCCACCTCTTATATGCATTAATAAATAAAATAAATTTTTAACTGATAAGTAAACTGAGGCCAGTTATCATTTAAAATGGGCCATAACGGCTACCCTGTTACCTCGCAGTAAACTTATAAAGAGAACATAATCAGAGCTGGAACAGACTTCAGTATTACTTTTATAGTTAATTTCCCCTCATTTATAGATGAAGAAAAATAAAGCTTAGTAAAGTTCAGTCACCAATCCAAAGTTTCATAACTCTCACTATAGAAGACCAGAATGCAAGTCCCCTAACTTCTGGACCAATGTTCTATTTCCACCAGCCTACCATACCACAAAAGATACAAAAGTATCCTGAAAAATGTTAAGAACTATTTAAGTGTATGCACCATTAAGTCCTGAAAAGGGAGGACATACTTAAGTAAGAAAAAAAATACTTTGAGGCCTCTCTGGTGGTATGGTTAAGTCTTAGCACTAAGAAGTTATTCTATCCATAGCCACTGCAGCGTCAGTTCCATGCAGTCAGGAAGCTCACCCACATGGTGTGACAGGTCTCTCCTGCTGCTCCCCTCAGCAGTATATTTCAGTGGATCTGCCTGTTCTGCTCCCCATTGTCTCTGGTGAATTCTCTCACCACCATACACCTCTGGCCTGCACCCCAGCTCTCATATGCATGAATAAATAAAAATAAATCTTAAGAAAACACTTTAAGGAATTAAGAATCAAATTTTATGCTTTTAACCGACTTGTTTTTAAATGTAGTTTTAAATGTAAAACTATCTATTCCCTTCATTTTTTCCCTAAGTTCTACTAGTTCTTACATCCCTGATTAGACTTAGTTCCTTAAAATTTCCATAAACTGTTACATATCAAGATCTCAGAATTTTCTCAGCTGCAGAAATTTTCCTTAAAAAAGTAAAGCATTTTTCAGTAACCATGTTTCATTCTCTTAATGTGTTTAAATATTATTCTTGATTATAGTAATTTATGAAGTTACTTCATCTGGGTTACTGAAGTAATTTTTCACTGTACATGCTCGTAAAATATTTCCATTACTACTTCCAATTGGAATAGGGCAGAATAATCAAACCAGATAAGCTAATGCACATATATATTAAAATGTGATAACTGATTGACAGGCATGTATTATGAGGTAGGTTTTTTTGAAGATTATGAGATTGAGATTGAAATGATTATGTGATTTATATTGTCATAAAAATGCAGAGAGCATGAACCTTATAAAAAACACATGGTGAACAAATATTACCCACTTTTCTGGCAAGATTTTTGAACAAATGTTTCAATCCTGAGCCAGGCAGGAAGATATGTCAATCTTAGAGGCAATTTCATATAAACTGAAAGATTGAAAATTTGATAAATTTGTATGCAAAGGACTCAAAGAGAGCAAACCATAAGCAATTATTAAAACTAAGGTAAGATCTCTGCCTGTATTTCTTTCTCTGTCTCTGTCTCTTTCTTCCCTGTATGTATGTTTCACAAAATATATTTACCAGTTCAAAAAGACCTGAAGGTATTATCAACTAGGTAAGGATCTGAGATGCCCAGGGGTAACTCACAATCAGGCAAGGCTTATGTTAACACATAACAAATACATGTTAAGTGATGAAATGTAACACTTTAATAATTCAAAGTCTATGACAATGGGCATAATGATCATATATTAAATTTCAACTTCAATAATGCAAGAGCCTGAAGTTTATCAAAACAGGAAGTGAAAAAAACTACTTTTGAGAAAATGCAGTTAACTGGAATTATGAGTTCAAATGCTTCTAATTTCACTTAATACTGCTCATGAAAGTTAGATATGCAAGCTTTAATAATATTTATACCATAAAGTGTAAAACAAATGCTTTAAAAAGTGCATTTTGTTCAAATACCCAAATCACTTTTGATGTTACTCTCACTTCCTCTTCTGGAAACCCTCATAACCATTTCCTTTAACCACAATACCACAGGTCTAGAAACTTTTAGTAAAAAAAGTCTGAGTTGCTAGTGCTTTGGGGCAAAGTTCACATAGGAACCAATATTCAAGTTTGTAAAAGAACATAATCTCACAAAATAGTTCAGGTTAATGCAATTTGTAAGTATTACTACCTAAAATTACTTCCAGCCTACATAAATTTATAAACAAGGCTCTCAGGTAAAGGCAAAGAGCATCTCTGTAATGACACTGAGCTGGCACACACAAAATGTAACAAATGAATTGGAGCTGAAATTAGCTCCACAATATTAGGCTTAGAATCAATTAAAACTTGCATCCAGGTAAACTGAATTTAGCTATATTTATAAAAAATGTGTCACTGTAAAACCAAAAGTCTTCTCCTTTCAATAGCTTCTTTATCAAATTATAGAAATAAATCGGTTTTAAAATTTAATCTAGTGATACGAATTTTTAAAAATAATCTTTCAGTTTCCTAATTTACAAGCATTATAATTCGGTTGCTATGATTAATATGAAAGATTCATATAATATTAAAGACCCATTAAAAATACTATGAAGATATTATCCCCCAAAATGAGAAAGACTAAATGATCTAGATGTAGCAAAATAACTTACTTTCTCTGTCAAATTAAAACTTATCTTTAACATCTGCTCCATATATATGTATTTTTTAACTCCAACTCTGTCTTTCACCGCTTAATCTGCAGGAACCATGTAAAGGCTTTGATGAGCCTGTTTTCCATAGTTACTTAAACCATCAGAATATGCAACATAAATCAGCAGTAGCAGCTGTGTAGTTACAGTATTTTATTTTGTAGCTATCAAACTTTAAGAAATGATGGTTTGGTACTGTTAGGCAGGGCTGGGAAAACTAAGATGAGGAGGAGTAAAGAGGGAAGGTTGTTATTCCTGTTCTAATGACTCATAGCCCAGAAGTATTTAAGAAAACTGGTTCCACCCTCACTTTCCCCTCCCCTCTACCTTCAAAACGCAGCATTCCAAATTGTCGATATACTCTCAAATGGCTTTTATTTCGCAACCTAAAATAAAGTGGGAAAGTGGAGGGGGTGCGAGGTTCGTCCTGATTATCCATTCCCTTTCCACATTCCCACACTTACACGCTAAAAAAAAAAAAGAGAAATTTGCTGCTGTCGCCTCCCTATGCCTACTATTCAACCTGAGTTTGGGAACATCCAAGTTTCCCGTCTCCACCCCCCAACTAGAATGTCGCCCACCGCCATCTACCCCTTCCAGGTGACTCCATTCTGGGGGCCCCAGGCGCGGCGGGGAGGACGGCGTCCGCACCCCCCCTCACCCGTAGGGGCCCAGCCGGATCCGGGAGCCGGGAGCCGGGAAATGGCTTCTCTCAGTCTTCGGCCGGCCCCCGAGCCGCCGGGGGAGGCGCCCAGGACTCCGCATTAGGCCGCGACGCGACCCGGCGCCGGGCCTGGCGCGGCGTTGCCG